TGTGTGTGTGTGTGTGTGTGTGTGGCAAATATTTCGACATGTACTCAAGATACATGGGTAATCATTTCATCGAAAACCAGGCAAATGAACAATTTTTACGTAAGGTGACACCAATAACTCCACAAGCCCAAAACTTGACGAGCGCCAGATTCCACCACGTCGTGACACATAATATCAGTCTGTGTTTTTGGCGCTGCTCCTGTGACGACAAGGTCGTGTTTACACAAATGTGAGGCAGCGTGGTGGAATCAGCCTCTCGTCAAAATAATCAAAGTGAAGAAACTTGCATTTTTCCGCTGGTTTGTGAATTTTTTATCAAATTTTTGTTTTTGGCTCAACACCGTTCATGCCCATTAAAGAACTCATTTCCGTGTTGATTTTTCTTAAAAACGTTGATTAAAGGCACAAACAATGTACATTTTCAGTTACCACGGACTCTGAAGCTAAGGAAATAACTAATCTTTAGCGGCCATTTTCTCACTTATTTTATCTCTGAAAATAGGTAATCCCCACCTCCTTCATTCGCAAATATCTCGACTTGTATTCAATATAAATTGATCTTTTTTTGTCATCCAAATAAATACAAGTGAACAAGCTTTAAGATGATACCAATAATTCTACCTGCCCAAAAATTGACGAGAGCCTAATTCCATCCCGCTGCCTCACATATGTATTTGTGAGCCGTGCTGACAAAATGAATTATTTCTCGCATTCCACAAATGGAGATATTGGCCAAAAATCGACTTAAGGGCCAAATTTGTAGATTTCCTATTGATTTGATGCCATATTCTTTAACTACATGTATGATCTGTCTTGTATTATTTTATACGTATAAATTGTAAAAACTTCACCTATAAGCGTGATGTAATATATTATTTTTTCATAAGGCTTGAATCTGAGAGGTAACTCATTTTGTCAGCACGATTCACATTTACTAATGTCCTGTCTTGTTGTGCGTATGCATGCATGAGTGCACCTAACCTTTGTAAGGTCTACTACCATTGTTAACGACTAAGACAAATTTCTCCCTACGAGATGAATAAAGATTGTCATTGTCATTGTCATCGTCATTGTTCTTGTCATTGTCATTGTCATTGTCCTTGTCCTTGTCATTGTCATTGTCATTGTCATCGTCATCGTCATTGCAATTGTCATTGTCATTGTCCTTGCTTTGTTGTAGGACATAGAATAAACGCCCATAATTCCACCGCGTCGAGACAAAATAATGAACATGTATATTACTGTCAGTCTGTGTTTTGTGTGCAGGACATGCCCAATGTGATATCCGTGTCCGAGGATGCGGCAGAAAAAGCTGTGGAAGATTTACAGGACGCCATACTGGGTCACATGGTGGCTGGCAGTGTGAGCAGCTCTCAGCTGGAGGATGAGCAAGTCGTGGAGACTGGACATCCAGAAGGGTCAACCATCAGGATTAACTACTTCAGTCAGCCTGAACAGGTCGGTTTGTATATACAGTATTACACACACTCTCTCTCGATCTCTCTCGATCTCTCTCTCTCTCTCTCTCTCTCTCTCTCTCTCTCTCTCAAACAC